GAAAACTGTTTTATTCTGGCTCCTTTTAACAGTGTTGGGTAAGTAGCCTTCCCTCTCTGGCCCTCAGCTTTTCATTTTGTAAAATGAGAAAATAGAATTAATTATCTCTAAAATTCCTTTCATCTCCAATGTTCTGTGCCTGATATGACTCTACAAATAAGAAACCAATACTCAGTGCCTCCATCTCCCAGTAACAGGAAACATCAAAAACATTTTTAAAGAATGGCTTTTGTATCCAGTTATCTATTGCCACTATAATGCTGCATACCAAACCACTCAAAATTCAATAGATTAAAACAATAAGCATTTACCTAGTCCTTGAGTCTGCAGATTGGCAACTTAGGTTGGGTACACCTGCGAAGTTCTTCTACTCTTAGAGGGCTCACTCATTTGTCTGACAGTCATTTGGTAGTGGGCCAATCTAGAATAGCTATGGCTAGGATGACTAGGCTATGTTCCATATGTCCAGCAGGCGAACTCAGGCATGTTCTCTCAAGATACGGCCATGAAATGAGAGACAAATAAAAAACACACAGAGCCTCAGGTATTCTGGATCAGAAATTGCACACCATTACTTTTGCCAGATTTTATTAGGCAAAGCAAGCTATGAAGACCACCTAGAAAGAAGGGGTAGAGAACAGGTTCTGCCTTTTATTGAGCGGAACTCCAAAGTCACATGGCAAAGGGCAGGGATTCAGAGAGGGGTAAAACACTGGGACACTAGTGCAATCAATTTACTATATTCTTCTAGCCAGATATATTTTCTCAATTCTTGCTTCTCCTCATGCCTCCATGCTCAGCATGTAGTACCTATTTATTGCCTACTTTTCTTTTAACTAACTCAACATGTTTCTTGAACACCTGCTTTGTGCAAGGCACACATTCTTAGGTTGTTGGAGTATAAAACTTTCTGTAAGGGTAGCAGAGCACAGCAGGAAGAGTATAGGCTTTTGAGTAAAGACGAGAGCTGTGTTCATGTTCTGCCTTTGCTGCTTACCAAATCCAAACTGCTTCCTCCTCTAAAAATGAAGGAAACTACCTCAAAAGGTTCATGTAAGATAAAGGTAGCATGTAGAAATCCACAGCACATAAATAAGATTCATTCCCTCCTCCTCATCTTTGATTCTTATTCAGTCCTGCCCTTTAGCAACTATACCTGTCAACAAGACTGAAACAGTACATTCTCTCAACATGAATCACATCTGCAGACTCAAATTTACATTTCTAGCTATGATTTTTACTATACTTAAGACTCATATTTCCAGTTGTTTTTAGGATATGGCCACTTTGATAGCCAAACTCAGCACCTCCCCAACTATTCTCAGGAATACACCATTCTTCCAGACCCATGGTTAGAAATATATTGGCACTCCTTTCTTCTCTCTACCTTACTTGCAATCCAACTTTTCGATATGTCCTCATTTATTCCTTTATAAGTAACTTTCTTTGAGATAGTTCCCTGCTCCAGAACTTTTGAAAACATCCTATTTCCTACCACAGTACTCCCTATTCCTACCACAACTACTCACCAATTTCCTACTTTTCAATACTTACCCTCAATAACTTGGTCTCATCTTATCCACCAACTTTATTTCCCAAAGTTAGTTGAATTCATTTCAGTATGCAAGCTATCATTAGAAAAGGATCAATATTTACATGAAGATCAACTTTCCAATTGTGTTCTTGAGACTGGCTTTATCACCCAAGGCATACTACTTCACTTATCTGAGCCTACTTTCTTAGCTATAAGCTTAGAAGTTTTATCTGCCTTGTAAAGTGAAATATATAAAGGCAGCTAGAAAATTTTCACAAAGCATTCTGATATGTACAGGACAGTGACACACTTGCATATGTGTAGATAGATGGCTTTAGACTTGGCTGCTACCTCTCATCTTTCTTTTTAAATATTCCCTACCATCTGGAATGTCCCCCTCTCCTCTTGGATGATACAAATTCTCTCAATATTTCAAAGACTTTCTCCTATACTCACTGACCATTCTAAGGTTTTATGTGGTACCAAAAATAAGAATCACAATGCATTTCAACTATGAGTGTGCACGGATGGTGAGGAATTTGGTTTCTCCAAGTAGATCATAAACTGAAGGCAGAAACCAGTATTGTCCCCAGCAGATGGGTGAAAACCCAGTTTCCCACCATATTATTAAGCTACCTGATTGATGTGGCTTAGTTTAAGTGGGTAGGTATGATTTTAATTTGGCAAGGAACTAATATAGAAGACTATGGAGTCATAAAACCTGAGTTTGAACCCAGGCTGTACCACTCACTGTGACTCTGGACAATTTATTTAACCTCCCCAAATTCCTAGGTTTCAAAACTTTGAAATAAGGTTAATAACAAAACTTTAAAAAGCTGCTGTGATTAGAAGAGATACTGTTATAAAGTAGCTAACATAATAGCCTGGTGTATATTACTTGCTCAGTAAATGTGATTTAAAATTACTGCCTGTCCAATCCTACACAGCATTCGGTACTGTCTGATGACAATATATTACATCTGAAAACAGTATGTAGCAAATATCTGTGTCTTTCAGCTCAAGAATGGACATGTACAAAATCTCCTTTTCCAGTGTTTTTATTTGCAAGTTTAACATTCACAAATCATCTTACAGATTTACTCTTTCCATAGGTTCATTATTTACAGGAAAGATCAGGATTAAAATGGAGTACTGAAGAGAACCAAGAAATTACCAGCAGTGATGGCACAGAGCACAAAGGCTCTGAAATAAACAGAACAGAGTGAACAAGAGTAGCATGTGGTTACTTCCTACCAGGTGGAACCATTGACTTCATTAAAGCAAAGCCCTTACTCTGTTATTTCCCCCACCTAGTTTAACCCAATTAAAAAAGAATTTTATTCTCACACTACTGCTCTCTGAGGGCTTAGAAATATAACTGGTATTATAAGTGACTAGATGCATCCCCTGACTATAAGCACCTGAATAAACAGGTTAAATTTTGATGCACTAATCTTCCCTCTGGGAGAATTAAAATGAAAGAGGCAGAAGTTGGTTGACTCTTAAGACTTTGGGAAAAAGAAGAGGAGCGTGCGTGCGTGCATGTGTCAGGTGGGGGAAAGGAGACAAAAGGAGCTGAAGGTGGGGGAAGGCAGGAAACCTAACTCTTTCCAATGTACAACTGCTCTTGTGTTTTTCTCAGATGCTAATATAGTGTTCTATTACTCAGGGGAAAAAAAAAGAATGAAAGTTATCTATCTCCAGTCAGTTGTAGGGTGTAATGGCTAATTACAGGGAGCATACCCATACCCTGGGAAAAGGGTATATTCATTTCATGTACATAACAATGCAATTCAAAACTGTGTCCTACTATGCTCCCATTTAGTGTTTTCCTATTTTAAATCAACTTACTGTGTGACCTTGGGCAATTTACTTAACCTTTCTGTGACTCAATTTTCTACTTGTAAAATGAGAATTGTAGCACTTTTTGTTATGGAGTAGAGGAGATACATAAAAAGCACTTAAGAATAGTGCCTGGCCAAATCAATAGAGACAGAAAGCAGACTGGTGGTTGCCAGAGGCTGGGGAGAAGGGGAAAAGAAGTGATGCTACTGGATATGGGATTTTACTGGGAGGTGATGAAAATGTTCTAAAATGAGCTAGTGGTGATAATACACAATTATGTGAATATACTGAAAAAATCACTTAATTGTACATCACTTTAAAAGGATGAATTTTATGGTAAAGTATATCTCAACAAAGCTGTTATAAAAATTTTTAAAAAAATAGAATATTGCCTGGCACAATGTAAGTGCCCAATAAATATTAGCCATTATTAGTAGTTATATTATTGTCATTATTATTACTTAGCCATCTTATGGCCTGAGTAAATCCCTAGAAATTCTTTATTTTCAATAAAAGCCCACAGAATCTAGAAAAGTATTTCTAATTTACATACATGAATTAACATTCACAGATTTATCTCTATCCAAACTGTCTCAGAAATTAACAGTCTAATTAAGAATAACAATTTCAGTATTTTACTCTGGAATAAAACAGCTCATGCAATGGATGTCTGATCATATCATTATAGCATGTAGATAAATTCCAATGACTTGATGTCACCCAAGGACTTGAAATGACAGGAGATTTTCATTTTCATCTTCAGGAAGTCCAGGTACAATAAGTAGTTAGATTATAAGAAGTATACAATCAAATCTTTAACTATAGGCTTGCTAGCCTTCTAATCACATCTGGGAGATACTTTATAAAAAGATAAATATAGTAAACAGTAAAATGCTGACTGGTCCTATGTCCTGTGACAAGCCCACCTTGCCCAACAACAGAAAAATCCATCACAATAAAAAGATCCTAATCAATTCATGTAATAAGACTCCCAAGAGGCAAAAGACTTAACAATTAATGGTTGACATTTAAGACTACACTGCACATTCTAATACGTTTGCATCAGTTGAGTTTTTATAATCTGAAGAGCAATTATATCCAGTCTTCACCTTCCTATTGCTAAAGAATGTTACAACAGAGGCTCAGTCTCAGAAGTAGGGGCAACAAATGACAACCCATGACAGTGATGCACCACATTCAGCAAGGATGCAGTATATTTGGTAATGATGCTCACACACTTGAGTTTCATCTAAAGCATGAAACTTCCCAATTACTAGAACAGGGTTTCCTTTGTTAAAATCCCTTTCTCTTCTAGTCTTTCTTTCTATAATTAGCCATGTGCCTTTGCAGCAAACCAGGGAAAGCTGTGTTGAGGGTTACAACTTCCAGATAATCAGGTCTTCTGCCACAGAGAGCAATGCACTTTTTTGCATATATTAAGAAAATAATCATTTATACCATAAAACTGACCATTCATTTTCAGAAAGATAATCTCCATTTTACCCATCTTCATTTAAATCAAATGAAACCATTCCTTAAATCACCCAAGAGCAAGAGATTAGCACACAGAACAAACTGCCTTAACACCCAATATAGCCCCCTCCCCCCCTCCCTACCCATAAAACTGCCACCCCTGTTGTAACCTTAAAAATTTCTGACCAAAATATTTAGCCTGAGTAAAATTCGGTAGGCAATTCCCTTTTGAGAAACATGATCATTTCTTTAATTTTACATTATAACCACTGGGACAGATTATGAAATAACTTTGGAAAAGAGAAGTTTTCAGTAAAGGTTGGGAAATTTCAGACGATGGAAATGGATGATAACTTAAGGACCAATTTCAAAATCAAAACCAGTTTCAAAATATTGTCTTCACCAATTCAAGACTGAAAAATTGGCTTTGTGCTCACCAGGTTTATTTTAAAATTTAGCAGAGAGATTGAAATGAATACAAATATATAATAACCAAAACCTCTGGAGAAGGCTGGGATTGAGAGGACCAACTTTGAAATGCTCAGTTATTTAGTGATAACTCCAAACACCCATTTGTCCTAGTAGTGTTCTTGGTTAATCTGGGAATGGACAAAATATGTTTTTAAAATTATATATCCATGTGTAGTCTTTAGACTAAAAAATGAATAAATATTTAGATTCCATGATAAAGAAAAACCATGGAATAAATTCCTATCTTTATAAGTAACTGTATATACAATGAATGTTTTCTGCCTGACTCCTAATCTTTTGTCTATTAAGAGTTCTTCAATGTGCAATTTATAGATGGCAGTAGTTCATATTACCCTAAAGGAACCCTGTTTAGCTTCAAATCAGCCTTTCCAGACACTCTGCTCCCTGAAAAGCCTTCACACTTGTGTGTATAAATAGCTGAGAATACAAGTAGGTGCACATGTGCAAAAAAAAGTACTTGTCTAAAGAAGAGCTAAGCAGCTTTACAAATAAAGTCTAAAACCAAGAAAATAAATTGCCATTCCCCAACCCAAAAAGCACATCTAATGAAAAAACTGTTAAGACCACTATGAAGAAGTGGCAGCTGTAAACCATGGCATCCAACTTCATGCTCTAAGCATCTAGCTGTTCTGTGAACCAGCCATCAGAACACTAAATCCCTCCATGTGCATGGGGTTAAATGCAGGCTTCTGATTTAGCTTTACTTTCTAGTTAAAGCCCAGACTACACAAAATAACGAGGACTTCCTTAGAGCTATGCTGTGTCCAAAATGCCTCATTCTACCCTGAAGAAGAAACAAGTGCCCAAATGATAATATGCATTAAGGACCTACCAATCTAAATTTCTGAGGTCTCCCACTTGGATAAGTTCAAGCACTGGTCCACCAAGAGCTTCAATGACAGGAAAATTACATATTGACTAGTAACAGCTTGCATATTCAGAGCTAGGGAGCAAAATTAAAAACTAGAGTGTCAATGAGGTGCTGTTAATAAGCATGGTGGAAAGGGAACCATACAGAACAACTAAAGAAGCTGATTCTTTACCTGTCCTTCGCTTTTTTAGAAAGCAACAAGTGCAGAATTTTCTCCGGTCAAATTCTGAATACTGGTTAATGCATGTTTTCTCCTCTGCAATTATGAAGCCCCTTCCCAACCTCTGTCATTGCCTTTTTAAGCCTAAGAAAGAAATAAAACAAAATGGATAGACTACCCATTCCTATTTATGAAAAGAGAGGCATATTCTAATAGTCATAAGGCAATGTGTTTAAGAGCCGCACCTGAACTAGTATTCTCAAAACTGAAAATACAGCAGTTAATTCCACTCAACTGGCAGGATGTATCCACGTGTTTCCCAAATCATTGGCTGTCACTTGAATGGACCACAGTGACCCTATCATGCCTTAAGGCAGCACTATACTGCATATACTACATATTTTAAAGAAATAACATCAAGAGGCAAAGGACAGCCTTTCAAACAACGGTTCCTTATAAGCAGTGATGGTGCTTTATGGCTCCCTTTTAATATCCTCACATACCAAATACCTCCAAAATTACACAAAAGAGGGCCAGAGGGAAAGCTCCATGGTGAACTGCATCTTTCAGATGAGCTTTCAATTCACTGGTTTTTAATTTCCATTTCCTGATTTACTGAGGAGTGAATGTGAGAATCATCCAACTGATGACAAAATAGAACAAGAAAACAGGATAAATGGCCAGGGCTTTGCGGTTTGGAGGCTGGCTATCGGCAAGAAAAGCTGTAGAGGCTAAACAAAACAAACAAAACAAAATGGAATCTTTAATATAATAAGATTGTCACAACCACTAACATTTACTATACTTTAATGTGCTTGGCATAGTCTGGAACACAGAATTACACAAAAAGTTCAGTTATATTTGTGACCTTTGGGGAAAAACGCATTCTGCAGCATAGTTTTCCAGACAGTTGAGAGCTACTTGTTTCCAATACTAAACTCTGAAAGTTGTCAACCATTTCACATGAAAATCTTTCTAAAAGGAGCTTCCTAACCTTTTCTGAGAAGTTACTGACCTGTGATGAATACACTGAGAAAAATGTCTAAGGCGAGTTGCTCCTATGGCAAATGGCCTCATACTGCTGTGCTTCTTGAGTAATTGTTCTCATTCAGTTATCGGCTCTTTAGATGTTATCCCTCTTGTCCACCCAGGAAATGAGACTCAACCTTTCACACATCTGATCACCCTTTGCAGGCAATCTTTCCTGAGCAACCATCACATATCCTCCCATTGCAGGCAGAACGGCCCACACACATCCTCTGTGTCCCCACCATATCCTGCACAGACTTCCATCTCCCACCTAGGACACCTATTGCTCTTAAGTGTTTACATGTCTGGCTGCTCCACTATGTTATGAACTCAGGATAGAGACTGTGCCTAACACAATGCCTTACACATAGTTTGTGCTCAAAGAACTATCTGCTGAATTAGAAAATGGAATGCTTATAGGAGCCTCTCTCTCTTCTAAGATTCTACTTCCTGAACAGCTATAAGCCTGGACACCAGATATTTACAACTACAAGTATGGTAAGTTATCAGACCCTAAGTGAGGGAATGAGGGGGTTCTCCCATGGGTGAAGCACTCGAGCTTAACACACAGTATTTATAATATTAATTCTGGCATTCTCAGACTGTATTTTTGAATTACTTCTTGGATTTTAACCATGTTCCAGAGCAAATGTGTATGTTAATGCACTTAAAAATATTAGGCAGTCTGTCTATCCCATGAAGTAAGAAGCCAGTGAGCAGTTCTAGTTGAAGGTAGAATTTTAAGAGAATTTTAGGAATGCAATAACAATGATCACATAGCATTCACTGCCACCACCATAGGCTCTTCCTAATCTTTGGCAGAATTTTCTACTGAAGCAGAAAAGTACTACATGATAATACACATAACAACCTATACTGAGAGGTGGTATAATACAGTTCTAAACAGGTGTGTCACCTGCTTGGGTTTGAAACATAATTCCCCTATTCACTAGTTATGTGTCCCAGGACAAGTTTTTTAACCTCACTGGGTCTGTTCCTCATATGTAAAAATGGGACTAATACTACTACTTTTTATTTGAGTTGTGAGGGTTATGTGAGATAATACATATAAAGCACTCACAACAGTGCTTGGCCTAGAATAAGCAATCTGTAAATGCTGGCTACTATTCTTATCATGATTAATTTGTTAGGAAAAGGCCCAAGTCATTTCTTAAGTCACCTATGCCTCCTATATGCTAGAATCTGAGCTAGGTCTAGTGTAATCTCCTTTCCTGACCCTATCGATTATTTAAGAATAAAAAAGAAAGGATATGACCCTCCACAACTCACAAGGCCAGATATCCAACTCTGGTAAGATGGAGAGCATCCCTATCATTGCCTACTTGGAGAAGAGGGTTCTGTGGATGATACTGGCAGGAATCCTATCACTCTCATATGACTCAGGAGTTACACTGCACCTCATCTGGTTGTCATCTCTAACTCATGTTTTTGTCTGCTTTGCTACTGTAGAGATAAGTACATTCTTACCTACTATAGACCAGGCAAACATCACGATCACCACAAAAAAACGGACCATGAAGTTTATAGGTCCTGGCTCGGCCAAAAGCACCAACCGGCAAACCAGCATTGCCACCGTCAAGGGAAGTATACAGTAACCCAGCACACAGAGGCTCTGAAAAAAAGATCTAAAAAATAACATACATCTTTAAAGATCATAAATATAGTTGATCTGTATCATGATACAGCTTATTTCACAGATTTCTATATATCGTAGATTGTTACCTTCCTTCAAATACATAATACCTATACCCTAACATTGATTCTATAAGGAGGCTTCTGTATTAAGCATAAGCTTTAATTTTTCTCTCCCTCTACTCTTTCTCCCTTCCTCTCAAACTCCTTGAGAGTCAACCACCTAGGGTACCAGATGATCTACTCTAATTCCTAGAGACTTCCTTCTCCCATTTAACCTCTAAGACAGTGGTTCTTAATCTTTTCTAGTTTAAAGACCTGGTTGAGAATTTGTTGGAAGCTATGGACCATCTCCTCCACAAAATGGACATAATCTTCTAACACAAAAAAAGTCTCCACATGATTTCAGGAGCTGGAGAGAGCATCTGAAGCTTATCATAAGACCCTAGATAATTTAAGGTAAGTTAAACTAAGTGATCTCTGTTAGGTGGGTTTAAGAGAATTTCTCTTTAGCCCTCATTTATTTTCATTTTTTTTTAAAATACCTAACTAGCCAGACTTCCTTAAAAGTCTAAGATATGCTACCTGGCAAGGCAAAAAGTACATTTTAATAATACTCACATGTTTCCTCCAAGAAGTTTTGAGTTGAGGGTGATGGTAACTGCACCAAACCAGACAATGACAAACACTTCTGCAAACTGGGGTCCTCCATCCTTTTCACTATCTATAGAGCTTCTTTGAAGCATTCTGTGAGAAGGAAATGGCATGAGAATTGCTTCATCTTTTATTTACAGCAGTAAAGTTAAAGCAAACTTTGAATCAGGGAGCTGTCCTAAGCCTCACCTGAAGATCTATAATATATAGGTTGTACGAAAGCAAGATGTCAGAAATATTTGGCAAGGCTCCCTTATTTCCAATTCCAAATGCCTCAGGACTGCATGGGTCACCACTTCTGGCCTTGGGGGGATGTGTAAATGGATTACTGAAGACGTTTTTGGTTAAGCAGAGGTTATAAACTGAAGGGTCAAATGTGGCTCACAGACATGGAGTTATCAGTCCGTAGAAGATTTAAAATGGGTTTAAATTCAAGTGACAATATTTTTAAATTGGGAGGTTTCACTTAAAAATACGTATTTCTGGATTTTCTTGAAAAACCTGAAGAATTTCTAACAGTGGGCCTACATTCCTACATGGCAACAACTGGGAGCAGTTGACTGACATAGCAGCAGGTCCCTTCACAAGGGGCTTCAGGTCACCAAATCATGTACACATTCAGGTTACTTCTCTACCCCTTAGATACATTTGCATTTGTAATCCTTCAGTTAAGGCTTTAGTTCTGACATTTGTTTATTATTTTTTAAGATTTTATTTATATGAGAGAGAACAGAGCAAAAGAGAAAAAAATGAGCCGGGGTGGGGGCAGAGGGAGAGGGAGAAACAGGCTACCTGCTGAGCAAGGAGCACGACCGGGGACTAGATGCCAGGACCCAGGATCATAAGCTGAGCCCAAGGCAGACACTTAACTGATTGAGGCACCCAGGCACACCTAGTTCTGACATTTCAGAATGGAAAGAGTCTATAAACCTATCTAGTTGATTTTTTTGAATCAAAACACAGATTATTACTAAAAGACTTTGCTTTAAAATGGAGTAGTTGAGCAGGCACTGATGTATCTTCTCTTTGTCTAAAAATTTTACAGACATAAACTTTTGAATTGTGGACTAGAACACTTGGACTGAATGTTATTTTTTTCCAGTAACACCAAACTCACAACCTCTTTTAGTAAGTCTTGCCCTGCTATGCTGCTTGCCAGGGCAGGCTTCTGTATTCTGTACCTGTACGTACTCCATTCTGAGTCCTAACAATCCGATGCAAGGAATGCTGGCACTGATCACTTGTTGTCTGGAATCTCTACTGCTTTGGCCTGGTATGAAGGGAAAACATTAACGGGCCTCGAAGGCAGGAGATCCAGAAAGTGATCCAACTTTTGTGATTAGGTATGTTAACTAGAGTACATCACTGGATATCTTGAGACTCCAGTTTTCCTCTCTGCAAATAAATTGGGCTAAACTACATAATGTCTAATGTAAATCTTTTAAAACTAAAAAAGCATATGCTCAGTCATTCTAATATAAACCTGTCCATCAAGGCATTGGAGTATTGCCCTTGATGTGGTTATTAAAGGCATAAGAAACAGCACTCTACATTACTGCCTAAATTACCACATGTTTAATTCACATTAAAAAATGGGCTGAGAGGGGTGCCTGGGTGGCTCAGTGGGTTAAGCCTCTGCCTTCAGCTCAGGTCATGATCTCAGGGTCCTGGGATGGAGCCTCGCATCAGGCTTTTCGCTCAGCAGGGAGCCTGCTTCCCTCTCTCTCTCTCCCTCTCTCTCTGCCTGCCTCTCTGCTTACTTGTGATCTCTCTCTCTGTCAAATAAATAAATAAAATCTTTAAAAAAAATGGGCGGAGAAGCCATTAAGAAATTTGTTCAATTTAGAATCATAAAAAGTCAAGCCTAGAAGGGATCCTCAGCCATCTCCTTTTATAGATATGGAAAAGGAGACCCAGAGGGGTTAGGTGGGAAGAGATGTAAAATAATCACAGAGGAAGACAATGGGCAGTCAAGGAAACCTGAGGTTGAATCCCAAGTCTACCACTGATTGTGTGATCTCGGTTCAGTCCCCAATCTCTTTGAACCTAAGCTTGTTTGTCAAAAAAAGAAAATAATATTCTTGCTATGAGGATAAAATAAAGAGAAGGTATTTAAAAGTTTTCTGTAAATCGGAAAAAAATCATTATACACATTTTGGTTCTAAGTAGTCCAAAATTGCTCTGGTGATAGCACAGTCAGGATGAGAAGCCAGAAGTGAATCCTAACGCAGTATTTTTTCCACACTACCAATGGTTATATTCCCCTCTCCAATGGAACTATGCTCTCCTGTCCTCTCCCTTTACATACAATATGTATGGAAAGCCTAACACTTTAAAGTATGATCTTGCTTTGAACTTGAACACTTCTACTCTTCCTAATTTATTCTCATTCTCATTCATATTATTAAGATTTAAGAAGAACTAGGTTTACAAATAAACAGTACTTAAACCTATAAATATTTAATTCACTTAGTTTACTGATGGGGAGGTGCATGAGAGTAAACAAATGGCATTTCAAGAGAAATGGCTAAAACAGGCTAAGAAGTTATTGGTAAAGAGAGAGGAGCGTAATTTTCACATCTTTAATTCTATCACTCTTTGAATTGATCTGGAAAACTACTTGACTTTTTAGATTGAAATCATAAGGAGTACAATATATCATAGAAATCCTAAATAAAATATTCAAAATTTCCCTCAATTTTGAAACTCCACACAAGAAAGTATGGTCTATCTCAAATTGCAGAGGAAGGAAATATAAGTACTTACAATGCAAGTGTCACACAAAGGATCAAAGGGCCCCACAGATCCCCTACAAGGCAAGAAAAAAACAGAAACTGTTAAGAAACAAGTATATAATATCTTCTATCTTTATTCCAATTATTTACCTCTCCCAGTCTTGGAGTTCAGACATCAAGGCTCTTTCTGTCTGCCCAAGCCTACCCAACCTCTCCTACCCCTCTACCTGCCCTCCCTGCCCCCCGATTCTGAATGCCCTTCTTCATATATCCTTTTAATTTTGTTAACTTCATAGACCACAAATGACCCCTCTTCCACCTACTAAGCCACATTCCGACATGCTATAAAGACCAATGGGCCAGAGGTCAAAAGACTTCGGTGCCCCATCTTCAGAAAGACTAGAGCCAAGTCACTCCATCAAACTGAGACTACATTAATATAATCAGGTTCACCTCAAGAATATGAGAAATGAAGCTGAGAAGGAAGTGACTTCCCCAAGCATATATAATAGTTAGGTATGGAAGTGGGACCAGAACCTCGGTCTTCTGAGTCTTACTCCAAGTTCTTTCCACTCTGCCACACTGCTTCCCTTTCATAATCATTACACTGAACTAGTATGGAACTGCTGTTTGTATAGGTGAGAAAACAAGTCTATATTGGTAATTTCATAAGGTCAAATCTTAGCAAATAACACGCAACTTTTAGAAAAGTATAAAAGGCTCTGCCAACATCAGATCTAAGCACAGTGGTTCTCAATTAATAGCTGTTAGGTAAATTCATCAGCCAACAGTTCAGTAACATACAACTTACAACAAAATTACCTTCCCCAACGAAATTGAAAAAAGATAGATATACCATTTCTAACTTTCACCTCTTACGTACATAACTTTAAAGCAGTATGCATATGTACATACTTACATTTTTTTCCCACATTATATAAGTAATTTTGACACCACTGTGGAAAGTTTGGAAAAGGTATAAAGAAAAATCATAATCCTAACACTCTGATAAAATACTGTTTTTCTTGTTAAATTTTTGAACTTATCAACTAAAAAAGTAAATTCAAGTATAACTGATACTAATACACTTTTTAAAAAATACACTTAAGTTCTTTTTAATTCATAAAAATCTGTAATAATTAAAACTATTTTCTTATTTTAGTAGAATATACATATATTCTACTAAATAAG